GTGTTGTGTTTGTTTGTGCCTCACTTGGTCGTCCCATCACTGTAGGTATGATGCGAAGGGAACATCAGTGAGGTTGCAGGGTGACAGCCGTCGTGCATCGGCATCGAGGCAGCGTACATGTCGCAGCGAAAGGCTCGAGCATCGCGATGGTGAGAAGAACGGAAGGCAAAAGAATCAGGTATTTCGTCTGAGGTTGGTCCAGAATATGGTGGGAAGAAAGCGTGGTAGACAAGGTTCAAGGCCCAAGCTGGGGAAGAGTTCAAGGCAACGAAGGTCGATCTGGGGTGGTGTTGCGGATGGTGGTGATGGTGGTGATGAAAAGGCTTAAGAAAGCCAATCGCGGGCATCTGCAATGCAGAGACAGGCCAGAGGCTCCTTGCGAGAAATGAGCAGGCGGCCAGTAGGAGGGCAGCCACAGTCAGCCCGAGGGGGAGGGAAGGCAGCCTTGCCATGTGCCAAGGACGAACGAACGAAGCCTTGAAGCCTTGCGGGTAGCATCAACGGTGGTGAAACTCGGTCAGTCTGCTGTTAGATTGTTGAGGGAGGGTGTCGTGTCACCACGGCGCCGGTTAAGGTGGTGTTCTGACCGTGGCTACTCCCGTCTGAGGGGGAAAGCATGTTTGACGACGGCGCTGACTGTTCCAATTGCATGTTGGGGTGAGACGATGGCTGGACGTGCAGTGGACGGGAGAGATAAGGCGTGCGCTCTGGTCAGACTCGGATGAAGCGTACAAGACGCCTCGCCGGTGTCACTGGAGAATTGAAGGATGAGGGCTGTTAGATGGTGATGCGTTTGACAGCGGCGCTTTCCAGGTCCCGCCGATGGAAGTCGCGGGTGGGCATTTCCTTCCTCATCGGGCAGTCTTTGTCCCAGTCAAAGTCGGCGGGCGCGGGCGGAGACATGGACGGGAATTTCGGGCCTTGAGACTGGAAACTGCGCCTGGAAGGTGGACACCTCGCACCGCACCGCAAACGGAAGCTTCGGGTGCGCCGTGAGACTGCGAGTCCCACCTGCCTCCTGCCGTCTCAGGAAGAAGTCGGGAAAGCACGCACCAAATGCCTTTGCCTTCGTACCTTCCTTCCCACTGCTTAAAGTTCCTCAGGCAGCAAGGACATGGGCGTGACATTACGGGCCACCGTCTCGCGGGCACATTGCACTTGCTAAGTTGCTCACGATTCGAAAACGTCGATTATTCGTCGATTTGTATCTCCACTCCACCAAATGGGTGGCAGGTACAACCCATATCCACGACACTGACCCGACGAGTGGTCGAGAAACGGACGTTGGACCCGATGGCCACGGACCCCGCCGAGAACACAGTATTGGGTCCGGTGGAGGTATCCTTCTGCCCTGCTCGACGTGGAGAAGTACAAGTAAGTTCCAGCACTTTCGAGAGGTCTCGCTCATCGTCAGGTATGTGCCTCATCCTCCGCAACCTAGCATGGGAGCATCGTGAACTGGAATTCTGGCTTCAAAGGCCGCCGACGGAGCCAGACGCAATCGCCATCGTATCGGTGACACAACGGAAACCAGGGTCAACACCAAATGCACAATCTTGTGGCAGAATGGGAGTGGCCGCAAATACCCATCATCCTTTCGCCATTTCTTCCAACCGCGCGGGGCACCCTGACCTGACCTGCAAGCCCAACCACTCATCGTCGCAGCAATACCGCCAGATCGAGGCTCATCTCGGGCTCAGCAGGACGGAATCTCACTGTCTGGTTGTTGGTGGTCTTGCTTGGTCATGAACTTGCAGCAAACTGCACCCTCCCTGCAGGTGTTCGTCGGCGAACAGTGCCCCAATCAGCAACCGGAGGCTCTCCACCAACGAACTTCACTCACTATCAGTCTATCACACTATGTACCTGAGGCCCACGGCATCCACGTCGGCTCGTCAATTTCACAGACTTTGCCCCTTCGTCCGTCCCCGTCTTTCCAGGTCGAATGCACCTGCGGTGACATTCCACAAGTCGTCTTATCAACACCCGTCAACCACCAGTCCAATGAGCCACAACCCACAACCTGAACCCACCAAACAACCTGCGGTCGAATCCGCAGCATATCCACTTGTCCAGCCATGTCGGTACGGATACGCTACGGATACGTGCCCTACAACTGTCCTGGTGTGCCTATTCACCATCTCTCCGAATCTCCGCTGCATCATGCCCGTCTCGTCACCGTCGGCGTCAATAAAGCGAGCAGCAGCGGGGCCTCCTCGCCTGGGCGCCGCGACAGCATACACCAAAGTGGCGCCATCTCGTCCCCTCCACGAATCAAACCGAAGCGTTTGTGGCGCCCATCCCTGACGGAGCGCTCCTGCGAGCCGACGAACAACCGCCGCCGTAATCACCCCAATCCTCAGATAACCTCCTTCGCGGGAATCCGTCCCGTTATATGGCTGAAATCAGAGTTGCAACCACCCATCGACACTGAAGAAGACCAGGGGGGCTGGGCGCGGGGCAAGGCTCAAGCAAGGCGACGCCGAGCAGAATGAGGGGCAGTCTGCCAAAATCAACCGAAGAGGGGCCTTTCACCATTCGCAACACCCATCACTCCATGATCCATGGCACGCTCTTGTTGATGTTGATTTGTCCGCAGCCCATCTTCAATGCTCACCCATTCAGCCCGGCGGCCAGGACAGCCGAGCCACCCCCGCTCATGTTCCGATTAATGGTATACAGACTGCATTTAGCGATTCTCTGACAAGTTTGCGCTTGATTGACGGACGTGGCATCGCATGGTTTCTGGACCAATTTTGTTGCTCGGGTTGCAGGCCGGCCCTTTCGAAAATTACCGCAAGGAGCGTTCAAAGGACGCGATCGTCATTTAACGTTGCGTCCTCCAAATACACTCTGCCAATGCCGCCTTGGCCTCAAATCTTCACCATGGTATCTCGGCGCCTTCGGCGCTCCGTCCGACCATTCATCGTGAGGCGGGCGCAGGGAGATTCAGGAACAGGCCACGGAAGCACCAGTCCCTGACCCCCAATAGTGCGACATATCGGTAACAGACTGCTGATCCACGATTGCGATTGATTTTCATCCCGATCCGATGCCACGATAACGCACAAAAATCCCTCTACCTCGGCCACTCGCCAGCCATGGCCTTCCCCCTTCATGAGCCAACGTTGATATTGCTCGACACACTGGCCGCCCGCTTTGGACAAGTCCACGCGAGAGACTTGAGGTGGTGCTGGCACTCATGCTATGCCATCAGGTACTGATCACCATTGCGGCCCAGGCCACCACATGTTCCATGTTGCACTCATTTCAGGGTCCTCGTGGTTCCAGACCGGACGGAACCGGCATCGCTTTCATCCACCCATACGCCCGCCCACCCATCAACACCCGGACCACGGGCCCTCGGGAGGGGCAGTACATAGAGGGGCTGAGGTACTCGGAGCGGGCGTACGGTATATCCCTTCAGTGAAGGATATAGCCATCCCGCAGACAGGCCAGGCAGGTCAAGCAAGCAACGCAGGCGTTCAATCACGGTGATGATCAAGCCAGTGTCAGTGTCTCGGCTGGTCTATTTTGAAGTGATAGTGCGGATATGCTAAGGCCTTGGGCGTTCTGGCATATGCCCCTTGTTGGAGTCATAAGCGATGTGCCACACCACCACTCTCTCACACACACACTTGAGGCACACCAGCTGCTAAAGCGCTCACCACATGCCATGCTTGTGATTCTTCACGGGTGACCCTTTTCAGCTTGCCTCGCCTCTCTAGGTTGCCATTGCTGTTACTCTCTCTCTGCGCCGGTGGAGCCATTGCTTTCTGACGGGCATGAAGATGGAAGAGATCCCACCATCCAGACTGATGGGCGCGAGGAAAAAAGAGGCAAGGGCCGAACGTCAGAAGCAGACGTGTTGCAGCATCAACACGGAAAGCTTGTGATATCCTTTCCAGCCGTTTGCCAGTACTCAAAATGCAACCACTAAATGTGGTCCAACGAGAGTACGAAGGGGCGCCTACCAATACCCACGGCGACCCTACGAAAGGCAGCACGTCGTCGGTTCCCTTGTGCCTTATCCACATCCCCATTCATCCACATCCATCCCATCCCGAACCAACGGAGGAGCTGCACCCCTCTTCATTGTGTGTGTTTCCCGGCTGACACCCCCCTCCCCTCAGTGGAGATGGGGGGCTGTACTGGTGAAAGTACCGGTACAGACCTGTTCAGAGGACACGGCAAGGCTCTTTGACGAAATGCTGCATGCTCGTTGGCCCTACTGCTCAGCGAAGGGCCGCAGTCGAGAGCTAATTCGACGCCGGTCCGTTTCAATGAAGCGGAGACTGGCGGGCAGGGTGACGGGATGAAGGGGAAGAGGCGCGCTGTCTATTCGCGCCAAAGGCAGGAAATAATGGGGATGATGGCATGGCTGGGGGCGCTGCGGCGTTATGTCATTGCCCTGAGCCATCCCGTCCTTGGTCTGTCCTTGATACGCAGCAGTGAGGGAGGTGTCTGCCTCAGGAGTCAGGGAGTCAGGAGCCAAGGAGCCGGGGTGGTCCCCTCTCTCCCTTCAGTCTCACGCCCCCCGATCACTCCTTCTGCCCGGTACGTATTCGCACACTGATGTTTACGTAGTGGTCATGGATACGTACTGTCACTGCGACGTATCGCATGGGTCCCCCCCCCCCCCCCTCCTTTGCATCCACTCCCCTCATGCTTTCCATTTTGAGCCGATGCCCCCACTGTAAATGAGCCTTTCACACGTCAAGGCCATCCCATGCCGCCTTCTTGTAGGCACTCGCACTTGATTACATCGTGGGCGTCCTTCTGTGAAGGCGAAGTCTCCCGAAATATAAGTTTACCTGATTCCCCCCAGTCTCTTGCTCTTTTTTTTGAGCATCCCATCAGACCATTACCCAACTTCATTCGATCTCACATCGATCTCATCCAAACACCACAAACTCTACACACCTACACAAGAATCCTAAGTCGGATTACCTGTACCAACATCTTTATTTCCCCAATACCACATTATACACACATCCAGTATGTCGTCAACAACACAAACCAAGAAGGCCGTCCACTTCGGCGCCGGCAACATCGGCCGTGGATTCGTCGCCTGCTTCCTCCACAACTCCGGCTACGAGGTCGTCTTTGCCGATGTCGCCGATGCCCTCATTAACAAGCTCAACGAGACCCCCTCATATCGTGTGATTGAGGTTGGCGCCGAGGGCACTAACGAGAACGTCATCACAAACTACCGCGCCATCAACTCAAAAACACATGAGGCTGATCTGGTCGAGGAGATCGCCACCGCCGACGTTGTCACCTGCTCTGTCGGTCCGAACATCCTGAAATTCATCGCCCCTGTCATCGCTAAGGGTATTGACAAGCGACCCAGCAACCTGGCTCCCATTGCCGTCATTGCTTGCGAAAACGCCATTGGTGCTACCGACACCCTTGCCCAGCACATCAAGGATCCCAGAAACACTGCACCCCACCGCCTTGAGGACTACCACGAGCGTGCTCGCTTCGCCAACTCTGCCATTGACCGTATCGTCCCTGCTCAGGACCCTGACGCCGGCTTGGACGTTACCCTTGAGAAGTTCTACGAGTGGGTTGTTGAGCGCACTCCCTTCGAGCAGATTCCCAGCATTGAGGGCATCAACTGGGTCGATGAGCTCGCCCCCTTCATCGAGCGCAAGCTCTACACCGTCAACACCGGTCATGCCACTGCTGCTTACCACGGTTACAACCGTAGCAAGCGTACTGTCTACGACGCCCTCCAGGACAAGGCCATTATGGCCGAGGTTCGCAAGGCTCTTGAGGAGACTAGCAACCTGATCATCAGCAAGCACGGCATTGACGAGAAGGCCCAGCGCGAATACGCTGCCAAGATCATTCGCCGCATCGGCAACCCTCATCTCGAGGATGCCGTCGAGCGTGTCGGCCGTGCCCCGCTCCGCAAGCTTAGCCGCAAGGAGCGTTTTGTCGGCCCTGCTGCTGAGCTCGCAGAGAAGGGACAGGACTGCTCCGCCCTCCTCCGTGCTGCGGAGATGGCTTTCCGCTTCCAGGAGGTTGAGGGAGACGATGAGAGCAAGGAGCTTGCTCAGATCATGTCTGAGAATGGTCCTGAGGATGTTGTCACCAAGATTTGCGGCATCCAGGCTAGCGAGAAGATTCATCCCATGCTTGTCGAGGTTGTCCGCAGGGTCCAGGCTGACAGTGAGGAGTGACTACAAGGTCCTCACCTTTAAGCATCTTTATGATTAACGGCATCGGGAATCTTTTGGAGTTTAGCATATCATGGGAAAGGCGCGGCGTTTGGGGATAGAGGGACACAGATCCCTTTGGGCGCATTAGCTTTGTTAGTCACTACAACCCACCAGGTTGGAAGCCGAGTCATTAGGACTCTGCATGTTCAATACCAAATTATCTTCATTTGTGACAATAACTTATCATGTTTTTAAGTCTCCCTGGATGGTAATTCATTGTAGTGGATCATACCAGTGAATTGTGTTCCTAGCCAAATATTCCGCGGTGTAGAAATGTGCGCCAATGCATAGTACTGATAATGTGTGAGTGAAGTTATCGTGAGATTACACAAACGGACACCGCGCCCCAAGACAGAAAAAGAGCAGCTGTACTAAGTAAGTACCCAGCGACAGGTGGTGGCAGTGGCACGGCCATTGAACCCTGTGGGGGTAGTGTGGCTGATGCTCGCTCGTCCAAAGATGCTGTGGCTGGGGCTGTCTCTTTTGGTGCGGAAGAGAGAGAGGGAGTGCGTGGCTTGATTGTGACTGCCTTAGGCAAAAGCCACATGTAGTCAGGCACCAATCAGCTCCTGAACTCGCGGTAGGGACACATCTGTTGAAGCTCGAAATACCGACCTGGCCAAAATTACGACTGCCACAGCTCTGGAAGCCATCAATTCCCACGACACACCTTCCTGCGGCTTCCCAATCCACCTCCGCGACCGGCTTCCAGCAGCCTACTCTAATACACCAACTGGGTACTCGATTTCCACGAAACGCGACACATGAGCCCATCGTGAGAGTCGTCATCAGCGCCGCATATCCCACCCCACTTCGCCTTTCGAGGACAGCATCACCTTTCCCTTCCTCCCTTGCTGGTATCTGTATAGGTGTTCACGATGAAGGTCGACGTCAAGGTGCGTCTCATCTCAATCTAATCCCCAGAGCTTTCTCTGTCGCATGGGAATGGCAGCTCCTTGGCAGCGTTCGCGATAGCTCCACAGCTGTCGCCAGTCTGTCATCTCCTGAATAGCTCCAAAGCTGACCTCGGCCTCCAGCGTCAATTGTTCGCCCGCAGCGAGCGGGTGAAAGGCATTGACTTCCACCCCCAGGAGCCATGGATTCTCACGACACTTTACAGCGGCCATGTCTACATCTGGTCCTACGAGACCCAGCAGATCGTCAAGACCTTCGAGCTCACCGACGTCCCTGTGCGAGCCGGCCGATTCGTCGCAAGAAAGAACTGGATCGTCTGCGGATCCGATGACTTCCAGATCCGCGTATACAACTACAACACCTCAGAGAAGATTACCTCCTTCGAGGCTCACCCCGACTACATCAGAGCCATCGCCGTCCACCCGACACAACCCTTCGTCCTGACCGCCTCCGATGACATGACGATCAAGCTTTGGGACTGGGAGAAGGGCTGGAAGTGCGTGCAGGTTTTCGAGGGTCACGGCCACTATGTCATGGGCCTGGCTATCAACCCCAAGGACACCAACACCTTCGCGTCCGCCTCCCTGGACCGCACCGTCAAGATCTGGAGCCTCGGCTCTGCGACCCCCAACTTCACCCTCGAGGCCCACGAGGCCAAGGGCGTCAACCACGTCGACTACTACCCTCACTCCGACAAGCCCTACCTCCTGACAACGTCCGACGACCGTACCGTGAAGGTCTGGGACTACACCACCAAGTCTCTGATCGCCACCCTCGAGGGCCACACGAATAACGTCTCTTTCGCGTGCTACCACCCCGAATTGCCAGTTATCATTTCCGGATCCGAGGACGGCACCATTAGGATATGGCACGCCAACACCTACCGTTTCGAGCAATCTCTGAACTACGGCCTGGAGCGCGCATGGTGTGTCTCCTACCAGAAGGGCAAGCAGGGCGTCGCTGTTGGTTTCGATGATGGCGCGGTCGTCGTCAAGCTTGGTCGCGAGGAGCCTGCCGTCTCCATGGACGCCTCAGGAAAGCTCATCTGGGCCCGCCACAACGAGGTCGTTTCGGCCATCATCAAGGGTGGAGGTAGGTTATGGCCATTCTTGGTCTTTGCAATAGTCGCTAACAAGCCTAGATGCCTCTATCAAGGACAACGAGCCCATCTCCCTCCCCGTCAAGGAAATGGGCACTTGCGAAGTGTACCCCTCGACTCTCCTCCACAACCCCAACGGACGATTTGTTGCTGTCTGCGGTGACGGCGAGTACATCATCTACACAGCCCTGGCATGGCGCAACAAGGCTTTCGGTTCTGCATTGGACTTCGTCTGGGCGGCCAAGGAGAACACCAACGACTTCGCCATCCGCGAGTCGGCGACGAGCGTCAAGGTTTACAAGAACTTTGTTGAGAAGTCGGGCGGCCTCGATGTTGGCTTCCAGGCTGACGGCCTCACCGGCGGTGTTCTGCTCGGTGTTAAGGGCCAGGGTGGTATCTCGTTCTTCGACTGGCAAACCGGCGGCCTTGTGAGAAGAATCGAGGTTGAGCCGAGAGAGGTATGTTGGATATGGTTTACGTGTGGCGGACGAATGCTAATAGGCACAGGTGTACTGGTCTGACAGCGGTGAGCTTGTTGCTCTCGCATGCGAAGACACCTTCTACGTCCTCCGCTTTTCGCGTGAGGCCTACGTCGAGGGCGTTCAGTCCGGCGAAGCCGATGAGGATGGTGTCGAGGCCGCCTTTGAGGTCATTACCGATATCAACGAGAGGTAGGACGCTCGCTCACCTGGCAATGATCCTAACTGACATGGTAACAGCGTCCGCACCGGAGAGTGGGTTGGCGACTGCTTCCTCTACACCAACAGCACCAACCGTTTGAACTACCTCGTTGGTGATCAGACCTACACCGTCTCTCACTTTGACCAGTCCATGTACATCCTGGGCTACATTCAGCGCGACTCAAGGATCTACCTTGCCGACAAGGATGTTGCCGTTACCTCATTTGCCCTGTCCCTGCCCGTCCTCGAGTACCAGACTCTGGTCCTCCGTGACGATATGGAGACGGCACAGGAGCTTCTGCCAACAATTCCCGCGGACCAGCTTAACAAGATTGCGCGCTTCTTGGAGGGCCAGGGCCACAAGGAGCTGGCACTGGAGGTCGCGACCGACCCCGAGCACAAGTTCGAGCTTGCCCTTGGTCTGGGCCAGCTTGACACCGCTCTTGAGCTCGCCAGGGAAGCTGACGTCGAGCACAAGTGGAAGACAGTCGGTGATGCCGCTCTTGCAGGATGGCAGGTCGCCGTCGCACAAGAGTGCTTTACTCATGCCAAGGATCTTGGATCCCTCCTCCTGCTCTACTCCTCTACTTCCGACCGCAGTGGTCTTTCAAAACTGGCCGAGCAGGCCCAGGAGGCTGGTGCTCACAACGTCGCCTTCAGCTGTCAATGGCTGCTTGGTGATGTCGCTGGCTGTGTGGAGATCCTCACCAAGACCGACCGCTTAGCCGAGGCTGTCCTGTTCTCGCAAACATACAAGCCCAGTTTGACGGCAGAGGTTGTCAAGGAGTGGAAGGACAGCCTCGACAAGGGCAAGAAGGGTCGCGTGTCTAAGATGATTGGCGCACCCGTAGAGGACGAGGAGCTTTTCCCTGAGTGGGATGAGTGGTTGAGGCTCGAGAAGGAGGGCGGCATTGCCACCGAGGTGACTGAGGTCAAGGCGGTCAACGGCACCGAGTCACCCGCAGAAGCCGAGGAGGAGGCTGAGGAGGCCGAGGAGGAAGCGGAAGAAGAAGAGGAGGCTGAAGAGGATGACGAGTAGGAAAATTTGTGCTCGGTTGTCTCGAATGAAATTTGATTAAAGTAGGGTAAGGGGAACGCAAAAGGCCTAGATGTCGAAGTGTCTGGTCCTGCCTCGACAGGCGTTGACGGTAATGATCATGCATCCAAATAAATGGAAGCTGTTTTATGCACCATGTCATCTCCTGTCACACTGTTGGCATGAAAAAGTTGTACATGTATATACGTTGATTGTTATTTGTTCTTGGTTCTGAAGATGTGAGACACCTTACAAGGTCAACCGCCCAACGCCGTGTCATTGATTGTACATGTGGCATACTCTAGTAAGTTAGACAAACCTCCCCCGCCGACGCCGTCTTCAAAGCCCAACTCTCGACTCGGTCAAGACCCCAGATGATGGTGAACAGGTGCCTCGCAAACTCGTCCACGTCGGCGGCAGCAGCGTTGCGAAACAAGCCCTCAGAATGGAACGACGGAACGAAGAAGGTCCCATCGCAGCATGTCCCGCCAACACCGCCAGTCTGAGTCTCTTCCCGCGTCAACCGCTCGTACGCGTCTTTGTTCTCCGCGGCCAGCTCTCTGCAGAGAGACGCCCATCGCGGGGCGGACGGGGCGTCCCAGAGGCCTGCGCGAGCGGTGAAGAGAGCTCCGCCGGGGCACTCTGACCAGCTTCCTTTGAGGGTGGTGTAGACGCCGACGGTGCACGTCACGATGAGCCACGTGCGGCGGACGGATTCGGAGAGGACCCAGAGGTTGTAGGTTGAGAGGTCTGAGTCGTAGGTGTCGTCCTCGTCCCGGGGCTCGTTTCGTTGGGCGGATATGTCGTTGCAGTATTTCGAGACGGGGACAAGGTTCTCCGAGAGGGCGTTGGCGTCGAGGGCGGCCGAGTCCCAGAGCTGGCTGCACCAGAGGGACAGGGTCGGGAGGTGGACCTCGGCGGCGGCGCGTTGGCTTATGGAGCCGTCGAAGAGGCGGAGGACGGTGTAGACGAAGAGGGCCTGGACTCTTGCGAGGTGGTCGCGTGTTTCTAGCAGCGGGACGGAGAGGGATGTCTCGTCCGTGACGGGCTGGGATGCCATCATGGCCGCCACCCTCTCGTCGAGGATTCGGTAGACAAAAGCTTCGGTTTGGGGTGTCTTGTGGTGGTACATGGACGCGGAGGTGAAGGCGTCTTGGAGGCATGAGGGAAAGTAGTTGCCTTCCGCGTACATGCTACGATGAATGAAGGGGCTGTGGCCGTGCAGGACCCAGCGGTGGACCCAGGCTTGGAGGCCACGAGTGAAGTTTGTCAGGACCGAGGTCGGGTAGATGTTTCGTGGAGGCGTTGGCAAGTGGTCGATGCGCCATGTCGAAGGGGCGAGGAACCATTTGCTCCGGGCGATGTCTCGTGCGACTGGATCTCTGCCTGTGTCCGAGGTTGTGGTGTTGGGAGCCTGTTGCGGCAGAGGGGCGGATGCCTGTGGGTTGACAGCTGCGGCGGCGGGTTGGGCGGTGTTCACGTCGGAAGGGAGGTTTCCAAAGTCGATCCACGGGTTGCTTCCCAGTCCGATGGAAAGAGGACCGGCTTCAAGAGAAAAGAGGTTTGGTGTTCCTACCGCCGGTGCAGATGGAGAGGCTGCTTCTGAGAGCCCGGCGGTCTCGTGAGGCCGGGGACGTCGGCGCTTGGCGACGGGATAGTGACAGTCGACGTCCCGATCGTCGCACCGTGTACACGATGGGAGCCCCTTATCGCAGCGGCGCTTGGATTCAGTGCAGGCTATGCATGCCTTTTGCTTGGAAATGCGCGCCATCGCGCGGTGCGGCAGAGAAGAATCTCTCAGGCGGTGCGGATGAAAGCAGAGCCCCGACAGGTTCTCGTCGGGAAGCGTTGGAGCACAATCGCTTGCTCCAGCGCGGGGTCGTTATCAACTCGAATAACGTTAGTGATGATTGAGAAGCGGGATGAAGGACAAATGGTGTTGCTGCAGCCAAGGCAGGACATTTGTCAGCTCCGAAGACGCAAGCCGGACCGTCAGCGGCGGGCGCGGCCGATTCGTGCGGGTTTTGCGGGTCTCCGGCGGCAAATTTGCGGGAATCTTGCGGAAGTTCCGTCGGGTTTCTTGCGGGGCTTAGCGGTAAAGCGGCCGCATCTTCTTGCAAAGCACCTGTCCCAGAGGAATAATCAAAAACTTCTGGCGAGTGGTTCCGATGATGACAAAACAGTATCATTGGTGGCTTGCTGATTCTCGGGACGCACATAAGACGTAATCATGATCGCATGCATGGATGATTACAGTAGTTGTTATAAGAGGACGGGGCTCGTCAGCTAGCTTCAGTTGAGAGCTCCTAAGCAGTATCAGCACACTCGATCACGATCAAACCGACTACGAAATCGCAACAAGCGCCTCTTAACAAGATTCAACAGCCATGCATACCCTTTATGCCAAGACTGCTGGCCAAGACGGCAGCACCTTCACCAAGACTATTCACAAGACAACCTATCCGACCATCGACCCTGCCCGCCCAGAGCTATCTCAAGCTGGACGGACGGTTGTGATCACTGGCGGCTCTGCGGGAATTGGTTTCGCTATCGCGCAGGGTTTCGCCCAGGCCGGTGCCAAACACATCATCATCCTCGGCCGGCGCCAGAACGTCCTCGACGAAGCCGTGTCGCAGCTTCACAAAGAGTACCCTTCTGTGAAAATAGACGGTCGCCAATCTGACGTAGCCAATCTTGACGAGACGGATGCGCTGTGGAAGAGCTTCGAGAACGATGGCATCTTCGTTGACGTGCTGGTCCTCAACGCCGCACTTGTCTCAGCTGGTAGCCCTATTCTGGAGCTGGGTCGCGATGAGATCTGGAGCCAGTACCTTGTAAACGTACGATCCCACCTCGACTTTACTGAGAGATTTTATAAACAAAAAGGAGGCGAGAATCTTCAAAAGGTACAGTCGATGTCACTCTCGATCAGTCTGGCATGGATTGTATGGCTGACATCAACAACTATGAAAGTTCCTTGTCAGTCTCTCGACAGAAGCTGCCCATAACTTTGCCAGGGCGTCTCTTTGGCCCGCGTACAGCACGACCAAGAATGCGGGCACCATGCTCCTGCAGCGAATCGCCAATGATACGCCTGCCGAGAAGATGCAAATCATCAATTTTCACCCGGGTGTTGTTTACACGGATGTCTTCAAGCCTTTTGTTCCCAGAGACATTTACCCATTTGATGATGGTGAGTGATTGCCGAGGCTATTTTAACGGGGAAAGAATCCAACTAAATGATGTCCTCATGTAGAGAAGCTGGGCAGTCACTTTGCTGTGTGGGCAGCTTCTGACGAAGCTCGGTTCCTGCATGGTCGCTTCGTCTGGGCTGCCTGGGATATTGATGAACTGAGAACGGGTGAGATCAAGAAGAACATCGATAATAACCCAGAGTTTCTCCAGGTTGGCATCGTTGGACTACAACAGTGAGGGATGGACCCCACTCAGATCGGCGCTGGTGCCAAACGTTTGGTGTATTTCAAAGACGGATAGACCTCTTCTCCTTCGAGCTCCACTTACCATGAATACATGCCGCAAGTTTCTTCCCTGATCAGAGCCAACGAACTTAATCTCGGTGCCTTGTAAGGAGCAGGCTGCTCTGTACTCGTTCACCCAGCTGATTGCCGTTTCGGGAAAGACTCTGAGAAAGGGATTTCAGGGAGTCTCGGCTGACGCCACATAATCGATGACCGTTGGGCATATCTGAGTGCATAAAATTTGCCAAGAACTGTAGCGCAGGGCTGAATCACTGATTAAATGCAGTGGCTTAGAAACATCACCCCCCAAATTTTGAAGACATCGGCTGCTGAGCTGGCTCCATCCTGGCTTGCGCTTCTACCAAATGAGGAAGACATGAGGGACTGTCAAAGAGCTCAGCGAAGACATATTGATTGAGCCTTGTCAGTAATTCGAAGCAACGCGACACATGCATAAATTAAGGTCAGACTTGCCTCGTCCGTTCCGAATCCCATGCTCGGCGCCTCAAAAGCCGACTAGGCATATGAGGTTGAGCAACATCACTTGCGAGCCCGTTTCTACGCAACATCTTCCCCACAGATCAACTTTCATACTTCTCTCCCTGGCATGAATCAGGAACTTGACACACATCGTCATCTTCCCATAACCGGTCGGCGCCGTGCAACCGATCTGGTTCACCCCTAGCCCTGATGCCGTCTAGCCCGAGAACTAGCCGCGCCACCTCCCCTGAATGCCTCGTCAAAACGACTCTAAACCCTTTAAGCTCATTGCTACTTCATTCGGGTTGCTCTTCAAGGTAAAGCCAGGCAGAATCGCACGATGAAACATGGAAAAGATTTGCCCTAGCTGAAAGGTTTAGCATCCCCAAGGGCATGGTCGACGGTTGCCTGACATCCGTGTGCACGCCGGTGGCCATGCTAATTCCATCACTTCGCCCAGGCTATGATCTCTTGACGTTCCTGTCATACTCACAACGCCATCATGTCAGAACTAGACTGCCACTAGGAAGTGCACGTCCTCCATGGCGGCTATCCGGCGCGTCGGAGATGTCCTTATTCTTGCTGTGTGAAATTAGGCTCCAACGTTGAGGATCAGGGGCACTCATCGTGGATAGAATCTATTTAACTTGACCGTTGCCGGTCTTCCGTTATGACTGGTTTCTAATCGTCATCAACTCAACCAAGCGAACATTCTATCTCTCAACTGCTACTCTTGACGCTCATCAAACCATTTTCTTGTTCAATAAACACCTTTCATCAGTCAAGATGCTCGCCAAGACCACCTTCGTCGCCGCCCTCGCCGGCTCGGCTGTCGCCGTCATGGACGTCCGTCCGGACCGTGTCCGCCGGAATATCCTCCCGCGCCAGACCGACGCGTCGGCCGACCCCTGTCTCAACGCCCTGGCAACCGTCTACTCCAACGCGCCCACGCCTGACCCAAAGATCGTCTCCTACGAGATGACAGCGTCGCCCCAGACGGACCCTTGCAGTGTCACTGTCCCCTCCGACCTCAGCTCCGACTACGCGAGCTACACCTCTGCAGTCCTCAGCTGGGTTGACGCCAACTCGGCCTCCATCGCCTCTGCCCTTTCTCAGTGCTCCACTCTCACGGACCTCACCACCGAGCTTCCCGTCTGCACAGCTACTAGCGCCGGCTCCGGTGGCTCAAAGGCGACGGGCACGGCTGGTGGTTCCGGAGGCACTGGTTCCACGAACGCTGGTTCCCGTGAGACCGGCATGGTTGCAGCTGCTGTCGCTGCCGCCGGCTTTGTTGGTGCGGCTGCTTTCTTGTAAAGATTCAAAGTTGTAATTGTATCATTCTGGGGCTGTGAATGGCGCAATTTGGATCGTGGATGTCAAAATTGTATTTGCTGGTTAAAGTTTGTACATGAATCTATGTCGCTATCAACGACTTGGAAGTAAACCTGCTGCCTCTTTTCATCATAACCCGTGAGCCGTCTGTGTCTTCTATGGAAACATCTTCTCTAAGCGTCGTAGGGTCTGACGACCCACGGCGTAGCCTCAGCCAACGCCGTTGTGCACTTGGCCGCCAAGGCTGCCTTAGCCTCAGTGCTGTTAGACGGAATGCAAGGCATACCAATGCCGCCCTTGATGCCGTCGCACAGGATGACAGGCTCGCCGCCACAGGGCGTAGTGATGTTGAAGTTCTTGAACTGGATGTTATCACAAACAGCATTGGGGTTGGTTGAGCAGGTCAACTTGGCAACGGCACGGCCATACTTGCCGCTGCTGTATCCCGAGAAGTTCTCAAACAAGATGTTGGAGATGTTCATCTGCGAAGGGTACTGCTCGCAGACTGAGGCATTGATGTTGAAGTAGCACGAGTCAATGAAGGCCGTGTACTCGTTGTTGGCCTGCCAGAAGTTGCGGAAGGTGACGTTGTCGATGAAGCCGTAGCCAACGTTAGGGCCGGCCCAGGTCTTGAGACGGGCGCCGTGCTGGCCGTTGAGCATCCAGACGTTCTCGATGACGACATCCTTGACGAAGCTCTTCTCGCCGGCGTACTGGCCCAGGGAACCCATGGACTGGCCGTGTGTACCGTTGCAGTACATGGTGTCAACGTGGATGTTGCTGGCGTTAGACTTGGGCGAGAAGCAGTCGTCGCCGATGTTCACCCAGGTTCGCTCCACGCGGACGTCCTCGACATTGAGGGAGTCGAAGAAGTCGGTGTTCTTGGGAAGGGCAGTGGCGTTGTTGGACTCAGCGGTGACAATGACGTCCTTGAAGGAGATGTCCTTGGCTGGGGAGGATATCAGCTGTGTACAAACAATATTCTGTACGGCGCTTTGTACTTACAAGTCACGACAAAGGTGGTCCAGCAGGGCGAGTCCTTGAGGTGGAGGCCCTCCATAGACAGGCCAGTCGCGTTCTCGGCGTAGAACAGGATAGGACGCAGGTAAGTGTTGTCAGGGTCAAGAATCCTTCGAACTGTCAGCAACCTCGAACGCCTTCGGAGTATAACGCAGGGAACTTACTCAAGACCGGCGAACTCGTTCCACCACCGTTGGCCATTGCCGTTGAGAACACCCTCTCCGTACAGCTTCACCTTGTTGCCACCCCACTTCCAGAACATGATGGAGTTCTGGAAAGGGTGGGTGAAGGCATTCTCCTGCCAGTAGGGAGTGTCGTTGGTGAACTTGATCTCACCCTCCCAGTGAACGTGCACATCGTTCAGCCAGGTCAGGTCGAGCGGCTTGCCGATGATGAAGGTCTGGTTGGCGGGGAGGTAGAGCGTGCCGCCATTGTTGGCCTTCTTCAGACCCTCGACAAACTCGTCAGAGATGTCGTCCAGGTCGTTCTTGGAGGCGCGGATGGTGTAGGTCTTGCGGTGGCAGTCCTTTCCGCGCTTCTCGTAAGGGTGCTTCTCGCGAAACTCCTGGATGTTACGAGGAACGCCGGCCGGAAGCTCAATCGCGCTGGAGAGCGCGGTGCCAGCAGCGGCCAGGGCGGCGAGGAGGGATGAGACTCTCATGGCTGCGTGTGGGATCGGAAGACGAGGAGGAAACACACACGTCGAGGAGGGTTGCCAAGTGAGATGCCAAGGGAAAGGGCTGCTCGGGAGAGGTGATCAGCCATCCATTGCAACTCTTGTGAGGCCGAGTCTCTTCATATACTCGAGCTGCTTGGCATTGGACCTGCATCGCCAAGCGACGTTGGCACAGCTCTCCTCAATTTCTTTTCCCGCATTTTCAAAAGATCATCATGACCAACACCACCACGACCCCAAACGTGCTGTTTATTTCCCCAAAGTCGGGGTAAGATAGCAGGGGCCGATATGAAGCTAGTCTCGCTTCACCCAGCCATCTGGAAATAACCAAGCGTATGCTGCACGAGGGGAGAAACCACAGCGTTCCATTCCACCTATCATGCCCTTATTTCTCCTGCCGTTCATCGCCTGCATCAGTCCATCCGCGTAATCAGCAGACCGCTGCACCGGGCCACAGCCCGGCCACGCTTTGGGGGACCGACCGCAACCCCATTGCGGTGTTGTGAGAAGTTGGGGAAGATGGAGAGGGAGGCTTGTTGGCTGAGGTGGATTCGGAGATTGTGCAGGTGGCCTGCATATCGGCTCCAGGGTCGACTGCACCGTCTCTTCCACGCGAGGAAGTGATTGATGGGATTTCTCAACCGCTGTCGCCGGAGAAAACTAGCCGACAATCGGATGCGTTCGACCTGCGCCGCTAGTCTTGATCCCCCGCACGAAGCCCATTTCCCCCAGTGATCCATTTCTTTTTCCACCTGGTAGTCCCCCGCGTCGTGATGTGGAGGATGGCGGTGGATGCATGGCCAAGAAAGGAGATCTCTCCGTGTTGCCGACGCCGCAAAGCTTCACTCACCTTGGCCGCTTGGTGTCTTGGCAAACAATGCCAAGAGGCCTTACGTGAATTATTCCCGGGGCAACGACGTTTTTATAATCTGACGTTCTGTTTCCCAGGTCGCCTGAAAATCTCAGCTCTTGACACAGTGAACTTTGGCGTTTTTGTTGTCCGCTGGCCGTCAATGGGTCACGTAAAGCCCAGGGATGCGCGTGACTTCCATAGTGTTTTTCTTCCTTTTTCTTGGTCAAATTTCTCTAGCAGAAACAGCGATTTCAACGCCTGTTTACTTTGCCAAATTACCTAGATGTCAAACAGTTGTAAGGCCACTTCATTGAAGCCCATCACTGTGATAGAAAACTACGTAATTGGAGCCTTTCAGTGGCCTTCTCGTTCCCACTTCGAGATCTGATGTTCTTGGAACAGTAACCTAGGCTGGAAGACATTACCTAATGTTGTTCGGAAGTAAGCAGAAGATAATTCGGTTATCGTGACATTCGATAAGCAAAGAGGATACGATCAATCACACAACCAATCAAGGGCGAGGGTAGTCGCTTACTCTTTTCCTTGTCGACTTCAAAATTCGCTCTTTTTCTCAGTATCACAAGTTTACACATACTAGCGGAGTTTACGCCGGCCTTTTGCCCATAATGGCCCCTTTACAGTTCGTTCGGGTAATCAGAAATGGTGAACTGGAAAGGTTCGCATTTGGCGAAGACTCCGAGACCGGCGAAAAGCATGACGAGCGCTGCGTTTACCCGGAGGAATGTTTGGTCTTGTCAAAGTTGCGGGAAAATATTGCCGACGAGGAATTTGGATATCGCTACAAGGTGTTGTGGGATGGGATCGCTGCATTTCTGCAGCCCAGTGACCTCTCAAATGCTGACAGCATTTACGTTTACTTGGTGCAAATTGATCGAGGGCCATTATTTGCCGGCGTACGCTACAGATCTGAGGGGTCTTCAGGGCTTGAGTCTGGAGGCCTCGCCCTTCAGTTCTACTTGCCACTTGATACTCCTTGTAAGTCATTCATAAGTCGAAAGTCATCTGAGCTATATGAATTCAACTTAAACGTCATGAGTTCTGACTTGCGTAAGATGGCAAGAACTTTCCATGGCCCGGTGTCGGAAGGGCATACGACATACCTGAATCCCACACGTCTTCGATGCTTGAGCTTGCCAAATTGTGGCTACATGAATGTACCTCGGGGACCGGTAAACATGTCAACTGTCCTTCTTCAATCGAGATGCCTCCGTTGCCTCCCCGAGTTATAGATGTGGGGTCCTCGTGTGCAGACGCCTACTTGTACTTGCCAAGTCCGGGAGAAAGAGGGCGTTACGTTGCCTTGAGTCACTGCTGGGGCGGCGTATCACCATTGATAACCACTCTCTCTTGCTTTGACAAGTTTCGGGTCGCATTTCCGCAGCCAATTCCCCAGACATTTGCCGATGCCATGGATGTCACAAGAAGACTGGGCTACAAGTATCTTTGGATTGACTCACTCTGCATCATTCAAGATTGTGCGACCGACTGGGGAAAGCATGCCACTCGGATGAACTACATTTATTCCCAGGCCCATTTTACGATCAGTGCCGATGGTGCACAGGATAGCTTGGCTGGCTTTCTCCACCCGCAAAATAGGAGACGGGAGACTATCGCCATCCAGTGCAAGACGTTTACCACAAATCCTCTGAGAGAAGAGCGAACGCACATTGTTCACGTCCGTCAGAGAGGACCCTTGGCATACCAACTCCCGTATCATGACTTCTTTCCGGGCTATCCATGGAAGAGGAATTCGTCAGCTTCTGTTCTTTATAGTTTGCCTGCCGATAGCCCACAGGTGTGGGATCCCAACTTTCGCACAATGCGCAGCAAGCTTTCGACAAGAGCATGGGCATTCCAAGAGAGGCTTCTTTCACCTCGGACTCTCCACTTTGCTCCGTCAGAGATGGCCTGGGAGTGCCGATCTATTTGCAGCTGTGAGTGCTCGGCAACGAATGAATCGAGGACTATTCTTGCGCGCAGTCTTCTGAAAGGATCCAAGGCTCTTGATCTCGCGCCTGTCGATAAAAAGGGCCCTCAATCCGCTTATAACATCGAGGCAGCTTGGCGCAGAGATATTGTAGAAGAGTTCACGAGGCTGCATTTGACAAGACCAAATGACAGGCTGCCTGCCTTAGCTGGGTTGGCTGCGCGAGCAGCAAAATCGAGACCTGGAGATCAGTATATGGCTGGAGTCTGGCGCAAAAGCCTCACCGCTGATTTGTTGTGGCACACGACCGGTGAACGTGCAAGTTGTCGTATGGCAAGGGACAATATGCCGACCTGGTCTTGGGCATCGGTAACTGGAGAAGTACATTATCCTCTGCAGAGGTACAGCCTGGCGTGGTACAACAGACGAGATCCTGAACCAAGTACTCTCCCATTGATGAGAGTTCTGAGAACTCAGTATACCGCAAACCCCAAGTCCGTCTTTGCCTCGGGCCCCAGGTTGCCAGCCTCGATTACACTGTGGGGATATCTTCTCAAAGTGAAAGATTTCCGAAGAGTGAGTAGTTACCAGTATGAGATTCGGTGGCCTGCCGGGGTAAACCTGCACCCGAATACGGTTGTAGCTGCCGATGTCCACTGTGGTAACTCAACAAATGTGGATGCATGCACGGAAGAAACCTCAAGTTATGATAACATTTCGGAGGCGCTCTCGAAGCAAAGGGATTTGTTCGTTCTGGTGGGATACATAGACAAAGGAGAAGTTTTCGGATTACTTCTGGCTCGATGTCTATCAAGACGTTCCGTTATCCCTTCATTTGAGAGGATCGGCTGCGTAAACGGGACATTCAATGAACGACAGACTTTCTTGGAACGTCGCTCAAACGGCGTTGTCGATTTTGGGCCAACAGATGAGTGGGCTGATCAAAAAGTCACACCCTCAAAGTTTGCATCATTTCTGGGCGGCAGAGGTAAATCGCTGTTGAAGATATGGTGATTGTTATCTTCGAGAATACCTATAGAACCATTCACAACTCTCGTTTGCTTGCATAAGCCAAGGTTTCAAAATCAAATATGCATATGTCCCTTCTATATCAAAAGTTTATACATGAGTAGCCCGAACACGTAGCCATTGAACCTAGGTATGTAACCATGCAAACACCAAACTCACTCTATGTATATATACAGGTCTTCAGTCTAGCTCGTACTATAAGCACCCCGCTATCTAAGCTGAATAAGCAATCCCCTCGAACTGCTCAATATCTTTTCCACATTAAGCTCCTGGATTCTTAGCGGTACCATTCTTCGCGTAAACTGGAGCCTCATAGCCAAATACCCAGATCCGAGCAATATCTTGAGTGTTGCTGATGTCAACCAAAGGGTTGGAGTTGAGCATCACCAAGTCAGCCCTCTTTCCAATCTCGATGGAGCCCCTGTCAGGGACACGGTGCCACCTGGCGGCTTTGCGAGTAGCAGAGTTGATAGCTTCGGCGGGGGACATGCCCAGGTATTTGACAAGGTTCTCAAGCTCAAAATGAAGGGTCAGACCGAAGGGAACTGAGGCTGTGGCGTTGCCCTGCTTCAATATGCCGACGGCGTCGGTGCCAGCGAGAATAGGCACCCCAGCTTCATGAAGGAGGCGAGCATTCGTGTGAGCATTGTCGAGTGTACGGTTGCTTCCTGGTTGGATGTTTAAGAACTTCGACAGAACAGCATCTCGGTAGCCATATTCGAAGATGTTCAATGTAGGCGTAACGTATTGATGTTGGCTTAGAATCTGCTTGATCACATCTTGTCCCAGAACACCGTCGTCGGGAACGTGCTGAATGCCGTTGGTCTTTGAGTCTGCAGCTTGCTGGTATGCCGTGATCTGAGATGCATGCGTCATGGTCTGTCTCCGGTATTCGTCATGAGCGGTTTCAACCATCTGAGTCTGCTGCTCCAGAGACGGCCCGTCGACTTCGGCGGTGATTTTCAAAAAGTGGCTGCCGTTATTGAATTGCCATTTCGTCCATTCCACAACGTCCGTACTTGGATAAATTAGCGTATTGTTGGCGCGTCTGGCTTGTTGTTTCGAGTGCAGACTGCCGTTGCCAACAGCAGCCATGCTGGCGTAGAGGAACGACGCGAGACCCGACTGACGCGCTAGGGTAGCACACTGCGTAAAGTTTGCGCAGTTCATGTGCATGGCGGTTGTACAGCCGTACGAAGTGTAGTCTTCGAGGGAGCGGACGTCGGTCAAATGGACGTGATTGTCGATTAAGCCAGGGATGAGGAACTTGCCGGTTCCATTTACAATCGTCCTCGCCCCGGCGCAACGGCCGAAGCCAATGATGTGCCCATCATCGAGACAAACTGTTTGGGGCTTTCCAAGTTTTCTCCCGTTGAAAACCTGAATGTCTTGAATAGCAGTTTTGGTGCTATTCGTCGGCATGGACCGCCTGACATTGTTGATGGATGGTGAGGAGTGCTCGTCGTCGTTCAAGTGGAAAGGGCATGCTTCACCACCAGCTAATAGCTGCGAGGCCGCAAAAATAGAAGTAAGTGTGGTAATTCTCATCTTGTAAGTGTTCGATCTGAAATGTTGATTGAGGTTAAGCGAGTAAGTGCTGATGAGTTCTTCATGCCAAGAGCTGAGCTTGGCATCATATGTACAGTCTTGATATCCTCAAGCGCCATTGCGGGCGGCATCTTGCATCTCCGTGCAGTCGTGCGGTTAATTCCGACTCATTCTGAAGGATTGAAGCTCTCCAGCGATCATTGCCAAAGCCATTACGCGGCAGGCTGATGTTCTCAGCCCTAGGCTGAATACCGCACAGCCACAGCCAGATCGTCGCATGGTAGCCTAATTTGATCTAGCAACGACGACATCATAGTCCTTGAGCCTTTCATTTCCAATTTAGCGGCGGCGCAAGGTTCGATCGGGCCCGAGAGTATGCAACGGTCCTCTCATCCTTCGGAGTTCAGCGCTTATGTTCGGGGCTAGTGAGGCGCTATGCGATCATCAGATGTCAGTGGTTGCAGTAGTTCACAATGAAGTTGATATAAGCCTCACGGACTTCGGAGTTGTAATAGCCACCACATGCGTCCAGCATGCTCAGGGCCACGGAAAAGTCGGAGTATGTCTCTCCCTGCCAACTGTCGGGCTCGGTGCCGATAGACTCCGATTCTATGCCGACCTCACAATAGGTACATTGGAGCATCATTATCTCCATGGGTTTGTTCTTGCATGGAAGCTCTTCGTTGATGACTTGGTGAATTCAATTACTGAACCTTAGTAAGCTTCCCAAAGACTTCTTTTTGCTTGCATACACAAAATGTAGCCTTGATACCCTAATGATTGGCCGCTGCCGAGTTCCATTTGACTTCGCAACGCAATACGGCGCACGGAATGCACATGCATTCTCGGTTCAAAGGTCTCAATGACTTCAGATATGATCTCTGGTGAAGTATAATCAAAGATCTCCCTCCGGCTCCAGTGTCCAACCCGAGCCTGACGTTAAGCAGGTTCCCCTCTCGCAGTCCTGTAGAAGAATTAATGGTTGACATTCAAGCTTCGTCAAAGATGCCACTTACAAACTTATCGCGGGCTATGCAAACCTGCGGAAGCTTTCGTTAGCAAAGGCCTGATCTACATCTCAAGCCGGTGCCCGTGAGTCGACTTACGCATTTAGTCTTTTCGGCATTGAATCTGCAGCACACATTGTATTTGCTCTGGCGGCTCTGACCTGGACGCGGGCTGCCGCCATTATCTCGCGTGGTGTCGGGGACCGGCTTACGGAGATGGCGTTGGGGTTCCGTCGGGCTGCCCGGGCTTGCAGCCAAGGCGACGGCCGCCGCTGCAAGTAAACATAAAAAAAATCTCATTTTTCTTCCGGGAAAAAGTCACGTCGTCAAGTGCTGAAAGGTCAGTACCAGAAAGAGGTGGTGACAAAGGCGCGCTTTGAGAGGTCGTAGGATTGTTGATCGACGTTTAATGGGACGGAGACTAAAACTGCGTCGATTTGAAATCGTTGTTTCCCTTGCCCATGCTGAGACCAGAATGGTATGAGCACTTGCAAGGAAAGGTTTCTTGAAACTTTATCGAGAATGACACCTGCCTGCTACAATCATTCGGTTACGCAGTAGAAGCGATTGAGCTGATTCCTTTTCACTGAATATGACCAGCGGTGATTTGAATTGGAAGGGTAGAAGAAAGTGAGAGCTGAGCAGATTCTCCGTACAGATTCTCCGTATAGACGACATCTTCATCCAGACCTCGCGTCATTCATCCGACTGGCCCGGGCGGTGCCTCTTTTCAAGGTTTCGTTTCATCTGACGGGATGCGCTGCATTCTCAGTGGCTCAAACAACTCGAAGTGCAAGTGATCAGCCAAACTCTACAAGCTGCTGGGTCGCTAAGTAAGTTCCGAGGCGTCCCTTTTCAGACGTTCGGGAATTTCCTTAAAAAGGGATCAACCCTTCGCGAAGTCTCTCTGCCAGGGTAGAGTGCTTAGACTCTGCCGCCTCCGCTAGGTGAGTGTAGTTGCCTTCACACCTGACTATTGAACTCATGCGCGAGCATGAGACTGAGATTCATAGTTTAACGTGGCACCACAGCACAAGATGTTGACGAGAGGCAACCAGTGAGAATGGCGCCACACTCTCAACTCCCTGACCTTGGCTCACACGTACTCATATCAATCAGTGGGTTAAAAAAAAAAAAAAGGGGGATGTGGCTACTGCAGGAAGGGCCCTGCTTTGAGTGATTGCATTCTCTTCTACGAAATAGAAACCGCTATTAATGCTCGCTCTAATCATACTGATTCTACATGTCTGCACCGCGCGACTCTCGTCGGCGGTGAACACCCAGGAGTGGGTGGCATCGAGTGAGTTGTTGCTCCTGAGGGGGGACTGTGTGCCATATTACGGAGCCAATCTCATCGAAGATCTCATCGATCATGCATGGGGTCTTGTTCTTGGTCGCATTCACATGAGAATACGTCGTTTATGCTGAGGCACAGTGGCCGCCGTCGACGCGAAGGTCGGCTCCGGTCATGAAGGAGCTACCCTCGGACAGGAGGAAGACGGCCGGAGCCTTGAAGTCCTCGGGGGTGCCGAGGCGCTGGAGCAGAGCACCGCGCATCCAGGTCGTCTCGACGTCGGGCTCGGCCTGCAGGAGCTGGTCGGTCATGGCGGTGCGGATATACTGGTAACAGATGAGTTAGACATGGACGAGTGAGAGTGGCATAAGATGGAGGCCAACTTACACCGGGGGAGAGGGTGTTCACGCGGATGCCGTACTGGCCCCATTCCTGGGCGACGGATCTGCACATTTGCTGGACAGCGGCCTTGCTGGTGTTGTACGCGCTGCAAGTCAATCCCTACAGAGAATGTCAGCCAGAATCCACACCTTTCAGACAGACTGCCAAACTTACGCGGTTGGCGATCTCTCCAGACATGCTGGAGATGAGCAGGATGCTGCCCTTGCTCTTGCGGCCGACGAGCACGCGGGCGGCCTGCTTAGCGGTCACAAAGACACCGACGACGTTGACTTTTTGTATGCGCTCAAAGTCGGCGACGGGGTACTCAAGGGCAGGGATCTTCTGCTGGATGCCGGCGCAAGCGATGGCGCCCCAGAAGGGAGCGCCGCGCTGGTCGGCCTCGTCGGCGATCTGGTTGAAGATCTTCTCGGTGGCGGGCTCGTCGGTGATGTCGCACTTGTGGTATGTGACGGAGAGGTTGTTGGCCTTGGCCAGCTTGGCGAGGTGAGCCCACTCGACGGCGGCGGGCTCGGGGAGGATGTCAAGGCAGGCGGCGTGACCTCCGGCCTCGAGGACGGCGAGGGCGAAGGTGATTCCGAGGCCACGGCCGCCGCCGGTGATGACAATGGTCTTGTTGGCGAGGGAGAAGAGTTGAGGAGTAGCGACGGAGGAAGCGAGAGGGTCCTTGGCCTCGGGCTTGGGGTGGACGGGCTCCGCGGGGAGATCCATATCGCTGACAGCTACGGGAGGCATTGTGAAGGTTGAAGGTTGGGTATCTTAGTAAACAGTGTGTATAGAAAGGATGATATTACAACAAGGCTGTCGAATGTCTAAAGGGTCGCAGTTGTTCAAGGTATGAATGAAGATGAGCAAGGCACAGGTAGTGAGAGTGGGAGTGAGCTAGGTGGACGAGGTCGAAACAGAAACATTGCGGTCACGGGTTGGCTATATGAGTGACACAAGAGCGGCCGGGGAGGACGGGAGGACGACGACGAGTGCCGCTTGGAGTTGTGTGAAGACATTTTGGAGGATGAATTGCCGGGCGTTCATCGAGGCGACGGTGAAGCATCCCGACGCGCCGGGGCCAACATGGTGCTGCAGCTTCGATGTTTGCGCGGCATTGACTCCGCGGCACCGCTGTAGATGAACGGGGACGTGGAGGATGGGGGCAGGTGCAAGCGCTCTTGGCGGGACGCCTCCGGTGTGAAGGCGGGGGGACGGGAGACGGCAGCCGGTCGGGTGAGGGGAACTGAGGGCCACTTGAGAGAAACAAATAGCAGAAAAGTGTAAGTCTGGACTCTTGTCTGTGGGTTGGGTTCAGGTCACGATGGAATCAGGAATAGACTTTCGGCGATGATGGGGCAAGGGACGGCAGCAAAAATAGTTTCGACGAGATTTGCAACGTTTATTGGGTCAAGGACCCGGTTGTTTCCCATGGGAGAGATGCTGGAGACAGGAGTTGGGAGAAAGAGCAGGCGGAAGCGAAGAGGGTCTGTCTGATACTGGACGGAAGAGATCCTATTAGAGGACAGCTGGAGTCGATAATGCGCCAGCGTGGCATCCAACCATACCATCCATCGCCGACACTCACACAACAAGCAGACAAAGAAAAGAATGGATCAAATGGAAAGCTGCCCGCGATGATAATTGTTAGTGTCTGATGGGTGTGGAGACTCCGCACACTAACAGCTTCAAAAACTGCGCCTTCACGCGGGTGGTTTGGCGGGGAAGAATGTTGAGACGGTGAGTGGCCAGAAAAGTCTTACGTAAGGAGACGAGAAGGTGGCTCGTGCCCGACGCCAGCAACAAGACGGCAAAACGAAGCGCTTCCAATCTCCCCCACGGTTGAGCACGGACCATCAGTCTGCTTCTATCGCTTAGTCACCCGCAATTTTCTGCCCAATGCGCATCCATCAAAGATACTGATGCGCCCGTTGCTCTTCGGGACTTTTCCGAGTCATCGCCCTGCGCTTCTGCGCTTCTGGTCCGCTGTTTTGCATCATCGATTAAGGAAAAAAAAAAAAAAAAAAGGCGCTTCTGATCTGAACCTTCTCTGATCTCGTTTTTGAAAAGTCCTTGTGCATGCACCAGCGCTTGCCATTACCTCGTCCTGAATTACATACAAACATTGCATCGCCCGACGCATCACTCAGTGCCAGTGCTGCGAACTTCCTGACCAATGAGAATCGTGCATGGAATCTGCCGTACTTTTCCCGACTAAATTTCCCGGCAGTCAAGTGACAGTCGCCGGTTGCTCCCTTCCCCTGCCTGTTTTGGGAAACGTTAAGCGCTCCTTCCGAATGCCGTACTGCTTCGCATTGGCTTCACATCCCACTTCCATCCCAAAATGGTCATCTCAAGCACACAGAGGGGGCACAACCAAACCAAGCCAGACAAGACCAGACCAGCATGGCCACGAATATATCTAACAAAATGGCCCCGGATGCCCGCCTCTGCCGTCTACTCGCTGGCCCTTCTGTTTCTCCTCACTTACCTCTCGAAAGAGACACGACTTGCTTGATACCATTTGCATTTGACGGCTGCTTCTCTTTCTCTTCGTTAGACACTGCGAACGAGGTCAACGTCAACCAAGAAAACGAGTGCGACTCCTGACGCTACCCCACACTCTCACACCGAGACCGAGATACCCTCACCTCGTGATACCCCCGACGCCTCTCATACACACATCACAATGGCGCCCAGTGCAGTCCCCGCCGAGCCCGTCCCCCAGGGCGTTGTGGCCGCAAAGTCACTCAACGGCTCAAACAGCCAGTTCCAGCTCACCGAGGCCGACAAGAAGGAGGTCGACTTCGTTCTCCGCACATTCCGCTGTCTCATCGCCGACTTGTGTGAGCAGTTCAAGGGCGGCCACCCCGGTGGTGCCATGGGCATGGCTGCCATCGGAACCTCTCTCTGGAAGTACATCATGAAGTACTCTCCCAAGAACCCCAACTACTTCAACAGAGACCGTTTCGTTCTGTCCAACGGCCACACATGTCTGTTCCAATACAGCTTCCTGCACTTGACCGGCTACAAGCACATGACCATGGACCAGCTCAAGTCCTACCACTCCAGCCGCACCGACTCTTTCTGCCCCGGCCACCCTGAGATCGAGCACGAGGGTATCGAGGTGACGACCGGCCCGCTGGGCCAGGGTATCGCCAACGCCGTTGGTCTGGCCGCTGCTAGCAAGCACCTGGCCGCCACTTACAACCGTCCCAACTTCCCCGTCGTCAACAACATGACCTGGTGTATGATTGGAGATGCCTGCTTGCAGGAGGGTGTGGCTATGGAGGCAATTCAGCTTGCCGGCCACTGGAAGCTTAACAACCTAGTCGTCATGTACGACAACAACCAGATTACTTGCGATGGCAGCGTCGACCTCTGCAACACCGAGGATGTGAACACGAAGATGCGTGCCTGTGGCTGGAACGTCATTGAGATTGAGGACGGCAACTGGGACGTCGAGGCCATCGTTCGTGCCATGGATTCTGCTCGCAACAGCAGTGACAAGCCTACTTTCATCAACATCCACACCGTCATCGGTATTGGCAGTGCTGTCGCCGGCAACGCCAAGGCCCACGGTGCCGCCTACGGCCCTGCTGACGTTGCCAACATCAAGAAGAACTTCGGCATGGACCCGGAGCAGCACTTTGTCGTGTCTGACCAGGTTTACAACTACTTCCGCGAGGCTATCCCCCGCGGTGAGCAGATCGAGGCCGAGTGGAACCAGCTGGTTGAGGCTTACACCCGCGAGCACCCTGAGCTTGCTGCCGAGTTCAAGAAGCGTGTCGCTGGCGAGTGGACTGCGGACTGGCGCAAGTTTATCCCCGCCAAGGAGGACTTTCCTACGACTCCCACTCCCTCGAGAAAGTCGGCTGGTCTCGTCTGCAACCCCATTGCTGCTGGAGTCAACAACCTGATGGTCGGTACCGCTGACCTGTCTCCTTCCGTCAACATGATCTGGAAGGGCAAGGTCGACTTCCAGAACCCGGACCTGAAGACGACTTGCGGCATCAACGGCGACTACACCGGCCGCTACATCCACTACGGCATTCGTGAGCATGCCATGGCTTCTATCGCCAACGGTTTGGCTGCTTTCAACAAGGGTGCCATCCTCCCCGTCACTTCCAGCTTCTTCATGTTCTACATCGTGAGTGACACCTGATCCTAACCCACCTACAAGTCCATACTAACGAATCAGTACGCCGCCCCCGGAGTGCGTATGGGTGCTCTCCAGCGCCTCCAGCAGATTCACATTGCGACCCACGACTCGATCGGAACCGGCGAAGACGGCCCCACCCACCAGCCTATTGCCCTGCCCGCCCTCTACCGTGCGATGCCGAACCTTCTGTACATCCGTCCCTGCGACAGCGAGGAGACGGCCGGTGCTTTCATCGCGGCGATGGAGGCCAAAGAGTCACCGACGATCATCTCCCTCTCGCGCCAGAACCTCGAGCAATACCCCCAATTCACTTCCCGCGACAAGGTGCTCAAGGGCGCCTACGTCTTCAAGGAGGAGCAGGATGCCGACGTCACGCTCATCGGTGTCGGCGCCGAGATGGTCTTTGCCGTCAAGACGGCCAAGCTGCTCGCTGAGAAGCACAACATCAAGGCGCGCATCGTCAGCTTCCCGTGCCAGCGCATCTTCGACAAGCAGTCGATTGAGTACAAGCGCGAGGTGCTCCAGTACCGCTCCAAGGCGCCGCGTGTGGTTATCGAGGCGTACGCTGTTAACGGATGGGAGCGCTACGCCGATGCCGGCTACTCGATGAGCTCTTTCGGACACTCTCTCCCGGGCCCCGACGCGTACAAGTACTTCGGTTTCGACGAGAACGTCATCGCCCCCGAGGTCGCCAAGCTCGTCGAGGAGGTCAGAGCCAATGGCGTGGACAGCCTGCGGGGCGAGTTCCGGGACCTGAACCCCGTCCACCACCACTAAGCACTTACTCATGAAGCTGTCTTGAAGAAATTTTTTTCTAGCATCACACCCAACGAGCTCTAATGAAGAAAGAAGAGGATGACTGGTTCGGGACAAAGGTGCGAGCGGCGTTTAGGGGGGCATATTTGGCACATGGATTGCATAGACACGGATAACCCTGGATAGTAATTGAGCCCGAAAAAAGTTACACGATGCCTTATTTTGGAATTTCGAGGGTTGGCCACGGCATCAGCAGGCCGAGTTCCGAGTCATGAGCGAACCGGTGTCGCAGAGGAGCGCGGCCTCGTTGTGGACTGCCTTTGATTGGTTTCATTTCTTCGGTTCGAGCTGGGGGAAGATCGCATTCTCAGCCTGCTTTCTGTCTGTCCTCGTGGTCGTTGTTCAGAATTTCGGTCTTTGCTTTTTAAGGGGATCACGGATGACGATGCTATCGTGGTTCCATGTCAATTGGTCGGGGAAAGCTCCGACGGGTCCCTTAGAAAGATCAATGGGCGGACATGTCAGTTCTCAGCTTTGGACCGAAAGTCCGCGGGCCACGCACACACTCAATCATGCTTAAAAAAAGCGACAGCTTGACGCCCATTGCCATCCGGAACCCGAACGGCAGTGGGAAAAGCTTGAAGGGGAGACTGCTGGGCTGCTGGGCTGCTGCTCCTCTCCGGGTGTGGGGGAGTGTCACTGCGGACAGCAGAATGGCGGGGGTTCAGCCAGGGATCCCAGGGCTTTTGTTGCTGGACTTTGCTCAGGAGCGTCCCCCGAGACGAGGGGTTCAACGGTTCAGACCACTGAAAGCAGCGCATCGCGTTCGCAG